AACTTAACCTGCTACTAATGTCACCAATCCTTTACAGCGGTTTTCATTTCTTCATCACCATTTAGCTTACTACCCTCAGACTTCTATTTCTTTGGTCTAATGAACGAGGCACTGAGGGTCAAATATTATGACTATCACTAGTTTCATGGAGAATGTAGAGATGAATTCTACTTTTTAGTTCTACCAGCTGGAAGATGTCATACTGCTTCCACAGAGTTGAATCACCCTCACTTTCTTCCACATTTTAAATGTCAGTGTCCTGATTTTTTTTCCCAAAGGCAATTACACCCACATGGGAGCTTACTTAAATCCCTTCACTATTAAGCTTTTCAGGTCATCATTTTCTACCTTACCCTCATTAGTTCACTTCCTTCCACCTTCTCTTTCATTTGTATCACACTTCTCATTAAGCATTACAATTTTGTCTGTAAACCCTCATCCTGAATTACTGTTGGCCTTTGTAATAAAAGGTGTTCAAATAACTTGGACCGATTTTAAATGTGAATTAAATTTAAACATATAATGATTTTTTTTTTTTTTGTTTCAGATTTAACAAGTCTTTGGCAATTTCAACCATGGAAAGATCAAACAATGTGTTAAAGTTTAAAGAGTGCATTTGGAAAAATTGTTCATAAATTCAAAGAAACTGGGTTGGTGGCAGATGTGAAAACACCATTGCGTGCTCGTTTATGCCATTCAACTGAAAACATTGCTGCAGTGCATGAGAATGTGGCCAATCCAGACACCTCTATTCATCATCGCGCGCAAGAATTGAACCTCTCCACAACAATGTTACATCACTTCCACTCTCATTTGGTTGACAAAAAAAATCAAACTGCACAACATGCATTTCTGTTTGAACGTCCATTTTTGTAATAGGCTTTGATAACATTGTTTTTTATTCTTTCCATGGTTGAAATTGCCAAAGACTTAAGTTGTTAAATCTGAAAGAAAAAGAAAAAATTTAGACACTTAAAGTTAATCCACACTTAAAATCAGTCAAAGTTATTGGAACACTCTTTATATGAAAATTAGTGTACACACACACACACACACACACAGTGTGCGATGGGTAAATTGTCGCCATTTTATATTTTTAATTTTGCACTTGTGCATTGTTTGTTTTTGATGTTGTCAACTGCACAGTATAGTAGGGTCAGTTGGGCACTGTTTGTGAGAAAAAGAGCACAATGACACAATTCACTCTTCCAAAAATTTGGAAACTGCATGCTGTACTGCTTGGCATTCATGCCAGAAGCTCCAATACAAACATTTCAGAATGTTTGGGTGTCAAATAGTGCAGAAGATTCAGAAAGAGTTGGATGAGTCTAATGGTGATTACGAAGTTCTTTGGAGTGATCACTAGTGATAGTGATGTTATGCCACCACTCATCTTCCTACAAGGCCTCAGACTCAACACACAGGCGTACATCAAGTGTCAGTGCTTCCTTGGGTCAAGCAAGGGGTGGCTGCTGAAGACCCTATGTCTAGAAACAGGCCTCTGTGCTATACCACACAAGCAAAGGAACCTAGACAATTTCTGTACCACATCACCCCTAAGTCCCCAGATTGCAAACCCCTTGATTATTATGTGTGGAGTGCAGTCTAGTGAGACACCAACAAAACTCCTTGAAACACCAAAGATGAACTAAAAGCAAGGATTATAGCAGCATTCACCAAACTTAAACAAGGAGACCATCCAGAAGAGTTGCAGGTGATTCCAAAGTTGTCTGGAGGCCATGGTCGAGGCCAATGGCGATTTTTATTGAAAAAGTTACTCTTTAGTATTTCAAGATATTTTTGTGTAATTCTGGTAAATATATCTGTTAAAATGAGCTGTCAGTATTATTTTCATTTTTGCATAATTTAGATGGCAATTTATCCATAACACTCTGTATATAACTACTTTTATACAGTCTAAATATCAAATCAAGGTTTAGCTGATAACTCCATGTCAAGTTATAGATATATTTCTTCACATATATCTGTATTGGATGCTTGAGTTGCCAATACCTTGTGCCAGCCCTGCTACTGCTATATTTCCTGTTTATAAAAAAAATCCCTCCTACAACCACAATAATATCTTCACTACAACCTACTACTACACACACACACACACACACACACACACACACACATATATATATATATATATATATATAGTTTTAAGGTGTGCTCTATTTAGGGGATAAAGTGCTCAATATAAAAGTGGAAACTGAAGTCAACACTCAGAGGCGACAAGCTGTTTCATATGGGATGCAATCGTCAGGCCACAGCCTGATGATTGCGTCCCAGCATAAAACAGCCTGTTGCCTCTGAGGGTTGACTTCAATGTCCACTTTATTTATTATATATATATATATATATATATATATATATATATATATATATAATTCCAACACAAAATATTTCAGTTCAACAAACAAGACCGCACACCCACAAATTGATGTCTCCTATAAAACTGGCAGACATGGCAAAAGACCAGCACTTATAACAAGCTGACAACTTAATATCTTTACAAGTTTAAAAAAAAATTGTCATTCACTTTCTCTCACACAGAAGAAGGTTAGTAATTTGTTGAAGAATGGATATTTCTCTCCTTTTCTGTCTATAAGTGCATATATATAATCAGACATGTTTTTGAGCTCTTCGTCCCAGTCCCCCAAGTTTGTAACTAATCTTCTCTCCTGGTTTATTGTTAACTTCAGGTCTTCTGCCAGTTTTTCCAAGATTCTCACTGCAAATAAATTATTGAGCTTTCCTTAATCAAAGAGCACTTGAGTGAAATACTTTCTATTTAGACCATATTTGTTGCAAAAACAAAAAAAAATGTGGGTCATGATTCATCACTTAAATTTATTATGGAGATAACATTTTTCAGTAGCAGATTTACTGAAGCAGAGTCTGTTTACAAATGGTTATAAATGTTGGTCCAAAATCATGCCTTCATTTGAGCGAAATAACCGCTGTGAGTTCAAAGAACTGTGGAGTCATTCACATCATGCCAACAGGGATAGCCTTGTGTTCACAGGAATAAGAAAACATCACTAAAAGGGTGTTAAATTGTAAATTAAAATCATATAATTTTATTTATCTTGTGTACTGGTGTGTGTGCATTTTACTTATGTGTTTTAAGGTTGCATGGGATAAAGGAAGAAAGTTACTACATCTTATGACAAGCAAGGTGCCAAGGAGAGTAGGTGGACATGTTGACCCTCCAAGGGTTGGTAGTGAAGAGAATGAGTTTAGCCTTTTTTGGTGGGGGGGATGTCTGTTTTCAGGCACAAAATATTTCTGTTGCATGCTGGGATAACTTTATTATTCTGGTTTTATTTATTTTAAACCATGTTTTAATGTTATTTGTTTTATTTTATTTATGACTAGCAGCATGGCCCGGCATTGCCCGTGCTTGATTAAAAAATCGTACGACTCATACAGCAATCGATATCACTTGACTTAAAATATTTTTGCCCATTCTTTGCCTTTAAAGGAGTGCCCTTTGCCGTGCTGATGTTGCTACATGTCTTACTTCTTGCCTATCTCACACTGCAAATCTTTTCTAAGCTCTATACTAAACATTAAATCTGTTATGAAAAAAGAACTAAACAAAATGAACCGAAAATGATTAGCTTTAAAAAAGGACTCATAACTGGAAAAACTGAATGAAAAAAGAATGTTAACAACATATACTTTTTCACACCCAACCCAGTTCTGCGGAATCAGAATCAATGTTGAGTTTAAGCAAGTGAATGAGTCAATTGGAGTAAAGTGCCATGCAGATTTAAATTTTTCCCACTTGTGATGAATGCAACTATTGATTTTTTTTGCATGCTAGCATGCTAGTTAACATTTGTGTCAGTCAGCTGTTGGCTCTCACACTGGCTAATAAAATCTTCCTGCCTATTCATGGCAGCCAGCTATAGGCTCTCACTCTGGCCAGTAAAAAAAGGCCGCAAACTACATGAAACCTGCCGTAGAAGCATGAAAAATTCGATTATTTCCACTATTAATGGGAGTTGGGAAATGCAAAATTGGTCTTGCCCTTCCCGATAACTTGAAGCATGTGCATGTAAATTTTGGTGCAAATCTGTCAAAAATTGTGGCCGTGCATTCGTTACACACACACATCCTGCCTTTTATAGATAGAGATATTTATTATCATTATTATATATTTTTATCTATTAATATTAATGTCCACACAGAACAATGTTTTAGTGTTAACAGTTTTAGGTTTGTTTTTGAACCCCCTCTGTTTTGTAACTGTTTTCATAAAATCTTTATTTATCTGTAGTTAGAGATCTGAATCACCCAGTTTCAACATTTTTAGGTCGACACATCTATAAAATCAATGTATGTTTTGAATTCATTTATTTGAAGATTGCTGAAATTTTCCAATAAATTTTGTTAGAGGACACACAATTAGTCTAAATTGGTCTCAGCAAATTTGTTACCTTTAGGTCCCATTCAAGACATACATATTAAGGCTTTGTTTAGTGTTTGTTTATGTACAATCTTTACCAGAAGAAGTAACTGCAAGGTTACTTGAAATGTAAACAATATTCACATTAATAACTTTGAAAAAAAAAAAAAAATCCCAAAACATTTTTTACAAACTAAAAGAACAAATTTCAAAACAATACTAATTTCTTTTACTCTTCTGAGGATGAAAACTAATTTTTATAGGTAAATAAAAAGATATTGTCAAGATAGAAAGCTACTATCAGACATTTTGAATTCATACATAAGTTGGTCTCTTTGAATGGAAGAAGTGTGTTTGCATGAGAGTCAGCAAGAATAACGCAGCAAGACTGTCTGGAAAATTTAGAGAAGTAAAAACTTGTAAAATTTAGTAAAAAATTTAAAAAAAAAATTATAAATATAAACAATATTGTGTGAAAAAGTAGAAGAAAAAGAACACTGAAGAAGAAAAATCAATGAAAGAAATAAAAAATGAGGAAGAATTAAGAAGAAAGTGATCCAGAAGGAAAAATCTGAAGGAATTAAAAGAAAAAAAAAATGAAAAACAGAAGAATGAAAGATGAAAGAATTAAAGAGAGAAAAAAGAAAATGATAGCAAACAGTAAAAAAATGAAGAAAATAGGAATGAAAATAGATGGAAGAATGAAGAAATAGGAATGAAAATAGATGGAAGGAAAAGTAATGAAAATAGAGGGAAGAATGAAGGAAAAGGAATGAAAATAGAGGGAAGAGGAAAGGGAATAAAACAAATGAAAGAATGAAGGAGAAAATGTATGAAAATAAATGGAAGAATGAACAGGAAAAAATATAGATGGAAAGAGAATAAAAATAGATGGAAGAATGAAGATGAAAAGAGAATGAAAGTAGATGGATGGAGGAAAGATAATGAAAACAGATGGAAGAATGAAGGAGTAAAGGTGAATGAAAATAGATGAAAGAATGAAGGAGAAAAGGTGAATGAAAATAGATGAAAGAATGAAGGAGAAAAGGTGAATGAAAATAGATGAAAGAATGAAGGAGAAAAGGTGAATGAAAATATATGGAAGGATGAAGGAGAAAAAGGAATGAAAGTTGATGGAAGAATGAAGGAGAAAAGGGAATGAAAATAGATGGAAGGATGAAGGAGAAAAAGGAATGAAAATAGATGGAAGGATGACAGAGGAAAAGAATGAAAATAAATGGAAGAATGAAATAGAAAAGAAATGAAAAAAGAGGCAAGTATGGAAATGATGGAAAAAGGAGATGATATAGGAATGAAAAAACAAACGTGATGCAAAAAGTGAAAAAAAACTTTGGAAGACAAGAAGAATAATCAGAAAAGAAAACAGGAAAAATAAAGCCAAAAAGATTTCACAAGAAATGATACAAAAATCTAGCAAATGAAGAATAACCCAGAGAACTGTGCAATTATCAGACATGAGCAATTTGGGAATTGTTCGTACACAAATTTAACAAGAAAGACTAGGGAGGGGAACACTCTACTTTGAATTTGTTAACCAATATTAATAAAGGCATAAATCTCTAAGCACCGAATATTTCTCTCTGTTTGTTGTCAGTGAGTCTCAACTGCTAAAAAAAAGAAAAAAAAAGTTGGAGGGGGAAGCATAATATTGTTACCTGTATTTTTATTACAATGCTACAATTTACAAAATTTATTACAAGCCTGTACCTAGAAGTTGTCCATTTCCAAAAGTAATTTCACCCACCTGAAGAGAAAATTGCTTCAGGCTACTTTTGCAGTTCCGTTCTACAAGTAAAACAGAAGTTAATATACAGAACAAATAGAGCAGCTTGCAGGAGAGCTTGCACATGGCAAACTGTTACATTATTCCACACTTTAGTCAGAGATCAAGTTTTTGAGGCCAAGAAAAAAAGACAGGATTTTGAATGACGATTTTCAAAGTAGTCGAGTCCTTAGAAGATTTAGTATTGTACCATACTAAGTTTAGCATAATGAAGATCAGGAAGCACAGTACTAGATTGGCAGTTAGGTCTCATATTTTACTGTTGAATGTAATCATAAACCCTATGCTTATAGTCTTGTTTCCTGAACTTCTTGATTGTTCCTTTTCTCATGTTTCTTGATCTTTCTGTCTCCTTCACTTCTTGCTTTCCTGTCAACTACTATTTTCAAAAATATAAATGCAATGCCAATTGTCATCTGGCTCCTTGAAGCCTGTTTTTTTTACTGTCCTCCTGGTTTCTTTCACTCTCAGTAACCCTTTTTATTGTTGTGACATTTATTGCCGGGCTTGGGATTAAATGATTTTAAAAAGGAGGAGAAAATGAAAGGAAAAGGACAGAAAAATAAAGAAGAAAAAAAACTGTCTTCAAATGAAGAACAGTCAAAATTTTATAAACCTTTTTATGAATATTTACTTATATCTTCATTCTTTTTTTTTTCAATCAAGCACTATTGGTCCATTTTTAACTAGTAATTACTTTCATCTTCAGTTTTATTAGTTGAATGCATTGTCAACCATTATTATTATTCATTTTTGACTAACATTTACTTTCATTTTCATCAGAACTTTATTTAAGTGTTTGATCGACAGTTCAAATCAAAAAATAAGATTGACACTTGTTAATGTTGAAGAATTACAACAACGGAACGGTTACTGTGAGAATATCTACAGCAGCGTTCCCCAGAACCCTAAGGTCCTGCAAAAGGTCCCCAAGTGTTCTGCGAGAACAGGTGTTACCTGATTTACCTTATGTCTTTTCAACATTGCCAGTAAAGGATATTAAGATGATTGTATCTGTTGGTAGTAGCATAATTAAAAGAAAAAAAAACTTGTAGTTCCAACGAATGATTTATTTTTATGGAAATTTGAAGTCTTAAGCGTTTCAAACTTCTTTTCACTGTTTTTACTCAAGTTAACGAGTGACCAATACTGGAAACTGCTAGTCAAAATATTTCCATAAAAAATAAATCATTTGTTGGAACTACAAGTTTTTTTCTTTTAGTAATTACCTGTTTTCATTCTGTTTATTATAGGTATATGATATTGTTTATTTTTCATGTTTGACTTTAGAATTATTTTTTTTTTGTGTGAATGAAAACTCACTGATGAAGTATTATAAATCAACAGTATGGGCACCTCGACGTGGTGTAATGGTTAGAAAGTTTGTCTTGCTAGATCAATTACGACTGAGTAGTGAGTTCGATCCTCACTGGGTGCCCCATACTTTCGGCCTTGTGCCACATCTAAGCCGGGCTTAGAAAATCACTATATTTGGGCACCTCAGCATGGTGTAATGGTTTGCAAGCTTGTCTCGCTAGATCAGTTGCGATTGAAAAATGAGTTCAATCCTCACTAGGTGTCCCATACTTTCGGCCTTGTGCCACATCTAAGCTACACTTAGAAAATAACTATAAATCAACAGTATGAATTTTATTTAGCATTACTGAAAAAATTTGACAAAGCATTAATTTTTCCTTAAAAAAAGTTATTCAAATATATATACTATGATATTTACCATGTGAAATATGATGAAAATAAAATAAAAAAGATATGGTATATAATTTTGTTTTTGCGCAGGGGTTCCTTGAGACATGTAATTTATTTTAAGGGTTACACAAGGGTGAAAAGGTTGATAAACACTGTTCAACAATAAAGATATACAAAAAAAATGCAAATGCATTAATATTGACCTTATCAAACAAATGCATTAAAATGTTTGAAATTAAGATTTTGTTTTAATTTCAATTTATCCAAATGGTTGCCTACATCTTGGGTTGTTATACATACTTTTGTAGACAACATTTCAGTCAAGTGCCGTCTGGCCATCATCAGGTGTCTATTTTTTAATAAATTTTGTTGATATCTTTTGTTGGTTTTTGTCCATAAGACATTTCTTGTTTGTTTGCTTTTTCTATTTTGAAAATGTTGGTGTCCACCATGGCCCTATCCTCAGACCTACTGTGTTTCTAAATCAACAACCTTCCTGATTGCCTTCTATCATTATGGCTGATGCTAACCTTCAAGAGAGTGACTCAATACACCTTGTCAGTCTTAACATTTTGCATTGATAGAAATTGGAATGATTATATCAATTCAATGGCTAAGTGAACCTCTAGGAAAGCTATTTCACCATGTCATCCTAGATAATTTTTCTTGCCAGAATCTATTTTTCACATTTATAAGTGTTGTACCGTACCTATGGACAATAATGGTTATGTCCCAATCCTTATAAATACAGTGGAACATACCGTATGTTGAATCACTGTAGAATTCACTTCCTAGTGTGCTTGTCAGGAACACAGACAAGGCTATGTTGAAGAGTAGAGTCTTATCGAGCATGGTTCACCCCCACATTAAATTCATTCCTTGTGACACATCTGACTGCATGGGGAGGTTAGTGAATATCTTCACTGTGGGATTCACCTGTGATTCACTTCTACCAGTTGATTACTTACTTACACACTGTTGGCGAATGTTCTATGTTGTTCCTGTTATAAATATCGTTCATTTCCAACCTTCGTTTTGGTTATTCTTATCCAGTAACCTTTCCTAGATTACAACAATAAATCTACCATTCACCCGTGCATTGAGTATTGTTGCCACATCTGAACTGGTGCTTCTCATATGTATCTAGAGATTCTTTATAGTCAAAGAATAAACTGCAATGTTAACAGTCTTGATTTGGCACCTCAGTCACTTTCAGACCATTGTAACAGTTTCCCTCTGCTTTTTCTATAAATATTCTGATGAGTTTTCCATGTTGGTACCTCAATTTTATGAATTAAAGTGCAGTACTAGATGGGAAGTTAGGTCTCATCATTTTAATGTTGAAATGGCTAGATGTAACTAAATTCTATGCTAATAATTTCTTCTCTCACATTTCTAACTTGTGAAACCTTCTTCCATCTTCTTACTTTCCTGCCAAATACTATATTCAAAAAATTAAAAGGCAATGTTGTCATCTTCTTGCAATCCTGTTTTTTTGTTATTGTTTTTCTTTAATAACATTTTCTCATTTTCTTTCACTCTTAGTAACTTCTTGGATTTTAGTCTGTTTTTTTTTTTTTTGCCTCATATTGTGTGAAATGTTTAAGAAAAACAATTTCACTTCCCAATTTAGAAATAGAGTCCAAGGCCACTAGGTGAGTACAATACTTTGCAATCAATGTCTGTATCCACTATGCCCCCACCCCAACTCGATGTATTTTTTGCGACAAAATCATCAAAAGCAATCCGAAATGCTGTGATAACCAACTGTCAAATCCATCTGATCTGACATTGGTTTTAAAAGTGTCTAAAAAGTAAAAGAAATAAAAAAAAAAAAAATTACAATATTTCATCAATGGAGGAAAAAGAATTAATATGAAAAAATAGCTTCAAATATATAAGTTTCCAAACAATTCAAAGACGTCTTCTGACCTTTGTTCCTGACCCCTGTTGTAGCAGTTCAGAGAGCAAGCTCCCCTTTTCCAATTTTCAAACTGTCACTGTGATATGTAATTCAAAGCTAAACAAGCTTCGCTATTATGATATTCACCAAGCTCAGTTTGGCACAAGGCTATGAATTTTGAGTATCCGATACCGAGTTTGGTTTGTTACAAAGCCACAGTTTCGGAGGCACTGAACTCCTGACAGTAACTGTGTACTTGACTATTAATCATTATCCCATAACGTGATATGCTGATTAAGTTATTAAAAAAGATAGGTTATAATAGCAGCACAAATTACATGGGAAATTTTGGAAAAGCTTCATCCAAGAAATTTAGGCAACAATTAAAGATTTACTACTTCTGTCCCATAATAGTTGATACATTTAATATATGAAATGGGTATGCCAATGTCACAACTATTATGGGACAGAGGTTTCAAGAAGGATTGATATTAATATTTAATTTTTTTTTGATTCTCCTAATCTTTATTTTGGCTTTTCTTTTGTCTTCTTGATCTTTCAAACTTGTACTGAAATACTACATCTGTCCCAGAATTGTTTATACATCTACTCTATGAAATGGGTATGCAAATGTACCAACTATTATGGGACAGGTGATTGCTTTTAATATTTAATAATCTTCTTTGACTCTCCTAATCTTCATTTTGGCTTTATTTCAACCTTTTGTCTTTTTGATTTGGCAAACATCAAACATATCATTGTCCCATAATAGTTGGTACATTTAGTATATGAGATGTGTATACAAATGTCACAACTATTATGGGACACAGATTTCAAGAAGGTTTGTTATTAATATTTAAGAATTTTCTTTGACTCTCCTAATCTTTATTTTTTGCTTTTTCTTTTGTCTTTTGTCTTCTTGATCCCTCAAACTTCAACTGAAATACTGCATCTGTCCCATAATTGTTGGTACATTTAATATATGAAACGTGAATGCAAATGTACCAACTATTTTGGGACAGAGGTTTTAGGAAGGATTGTTATGAATATCTAATAATTTTTT